AGGTGTAGTAAGTGCCCCAGCAATTTCCCCTGGCACGGTGATCTTACTGACCACCTGAAGACAGTGCACGGAATCACCAAGAGCTCTCATAACTCCAGTCGCAGTGGGACCGCTGCTATTGGCAGCGCCTCCAGTGATGGCGCCAAAAGCAGTCGCTCCGCGGGGACGTATAACTGTCCGTACTGCAAGTACAATGCGAAGTACTTGAGCGAGTTGCGACGTCACACGCGTTTGCATATGGGCGTGAAGCCCTTTGCGTGTATCTTTTGTTCATACAAGTCGGCGTGGAAAGGCGACCTCAAGCGTCACATGGAATCCCATCACAAAGATAAATTCAAGACAGATGATGATCTAGCTCGTATTATGGCCCAGTTTAAAAATAATGCTGGGACGACTGCAATTGATCCTAGGGAGGAACAGGCGGTGCGGCCATGCTCTGCATCACCAGGGGTGAGCCTGCTTGCATCTTATACCAAATGTAATACTTAACTTTTTTCTTAATTTCTGTCCTTTTAATCTCTTTATGCCGCTTTAAAGGTAGGATGTTGTTATTTGTTTTAGAACTCGCCAAACTCCCAGACAAACCGAGACACACCAGTGCCCCCAGGTCTTCCTTCAACATCCCACGCTGATCTAAGTCTCCCCACAACGGCAGCGGATCCTTCTCAACTGCTTATTGACACCCTCCTGACGCTTCCTCCAACACCGCATGCCCTAGACCCAAGATTTTACCCATCACTGCAATACCTGGCCTCTTTTTTCACACCGCCGGCTGTTCATTCCCAACCGTCTCCACTCGTACCACCGCCGCCTCAGCCTACGCCACCTCCACCAGAATTGTCACTACCACCGCCCCCGCCTCTACCATTATCGGCTCCGTTAAGCACCATAACCCCGCCGCCAACAATAGAGAGTTTGAACTCCCTTCTGAGCAATTGGAACTGGCTGGTGAGTTGAGTAGACTTTGAACTTTGCCTTAGCTATGAGACTGACACTTAATGACCATGAAGATGGAGTAGAGTGTTTAGTCATTTTTTTCCCTCACACGCACAAGCAGTGGCCTTCCACAAGTGTGATACTACTACCTAGCAGTAGCAGAGGTGTTGACTATCTCAAAGTGAAAATTTATGAGTTCGCTAGCCATCGGGAGGGCAAGGAGGCGGGTGGACGCACACAAAGAGGTACTCGTAGAAGCATTGCCATAAAGAATTGACGACGACTGGCTCTCTCGAGCAAGTAGATGCGCAAATATGCATTGTGTGCTTTATGCATTGTTTGTATTTTGGACTGGCGTTAAATAATTTTGCGTTTACACACAGCCTATTCCCACCTTTAAGTGCCAACCATTCACAGCTGAGGAGGAAGAAACTTTTTTTGTGCATCACACACAGCCACGTGTATCCAGTTTTGGAGGTCCCCCCCGGAAGTAATTCAAGTTGGTTTGGAAAAATGGCCAGAAATATCGGCCATTTAGTCCATCCATTTGACTAGTAAGATGGAAAAGTACAAACGTCGCTCTTTGTTTACTGACTAACTGTTTAGAGAGAACTAAGATGTAGGGAGGGAAAGAAGTTCGCGTTGGGTTTTCAGCCGCTCCGACGTGTGAGAACCAGCTCTTCATCTTTTGATAAAGTGCCAACCGTCCAGGAATCGGCAAGAAAAGAACCTCATCAAGATAATAGTGGAATTTTACCACGGCGATAGTTGTATTGATATTCGGTGGGACCAGGTTGACCAATTTCGGTCGGTTTATATCTTGTCCTCAAGCACCTAATCTCGGCGCTTATTTCTACGGGAATTTTTTTTCATACTAGAATTAACCACCATTTACACTACTCGGAGCTATAATGTAATCGCATTGACAAAGAGAGATTTGAAAGAGCGTCACATCAATGGACTGGGTCGGATTGGGCTGGGCGATTAGTACGAAAGAAGAAGGAGTAGAAGATCCAACCGAAGCCACGGTTGGTGGCACACACGCACTTTGGGCCGCGTGTTTGTTTACAACGTGAGAGGTCGACTAAGAGAGTGAGAGAGAGAGAGAGAGAGAGAGCCAGAGGTGTTCGTGTGGTTATGTGTGCGCGATTGCACACACCCAGCAATCGTCCCCGTTTCTTTGTTTACACAACGCGGCAGCAGTGTGAGTTCACGTTCCTGTGTATGCATGCGAGCCAGCGAGGCAACCTGCGTGTTTGTGAACTAATATTCGCCTTCCTTCAACACAATCGAGAGCGCATCAAAGAACGCCATCAAAACAGGAGAGTATACGAAGGATGTTCAACCTAAACCGAGACATAAGTGGTTATCAAGGGCCGTCTACTCAGAGTCTTCTTTGGACGTAGAGAACTTTAACTGCTCAAAGTATTAAATGGTGTAAATGACTCCTTGAAGGAAAAACTGTCTCATATGGTTTTGCAGGAGACTGCGTCAATTAGGTATCCAGCATCAGACTTTCCTCACCCTCGGTAGGTGCCCACTGGATTGACTGCTTTGATGATAGACGGGAACAACCCACGCATTAATGCCTTCAAATATTGTATACAATCAACCATTTGGCACTCTGTCGCCCCCGCAAACTATCGTTTAGACCTTTCAGGCGCGTAGATTTTCGTGGATTATACGTCGTAATTCACGCGGGACCTCAGCAATCACCACACACTGTTTCGTGCAGGAGGCCGCAATATTGTCCGGCAGTTTGACTAGCGGGGTATGGACTGGCTCGCAACTTGTTCGGAGGCTATTGTTTTAGGTACTAGTTTACACTCCTCATTGACAGGTGCGTTTGGAGACGTAAATAAGTACATTCGAAAGTCTCGGGTTGATCTGTACGCGACTAATAGGAGTTGCACGGACAATCCGTCTTAACCCAACCATCGGTACGCATCTTCACAATTGTTGTAGATAGAGTAGAATTTGCAACGACAGATTTCACATTCAAGACCTAAACTTTCCTTCCCTTCCAGGCGGTATACTAAGGTGCGTATAACACTGCATGGATGTGTTGTCCCCATGTGCATCTTGAAATGACGTCTGTTGCATGTTGTATGCCACTTCGAGGGAAGAAAATTCACTCATCTCTAATTTATCCTCTTTTCGTTTCCATTTTAGCAATTTCCACAGACATTAACACCAGAGGGTTTAGGCCTTGTGCCAACCTTCACGTCGCAGCAGCCAGAAGGGGAGCAGCAACAGCAGCAGCCCCAGCCGTGTGCCAGTACCGAAGAACCGCTAAACTTGGTGTGTAAAGCAGAGTGCCCGACAGGTCCTCAATCAGTTAGTCAGGCCTCTCCCCCACAGCCGCGGCCACCGCCAGCCAAGAGGCGCTCTACGAGGCCCACCCGATCCGGAAGAGGCTCAACCAACCGTGAGGAACTGCATAAGCCCTATAAGTGTTCCAGCTGTGGGCACCGATCTAACTGGAAATGGGACATTAATAAGCACATTAGAGTAGCTCACCCTGAACGTCCAGATGTCACTACCATTACCATGGACCCTGAGGAGGCCAAACGAACCTTGCCCGCGTATCTGGAAAGGGTGCGAGCATTCGGACGCAACGGAAGATCATCAGCTCATTGTTGCAGTGATGACATGAATCCTTCATGTAGTAACGGCTCTGGTTCCTGCCACCAGGATCGGGAGGGCTATATCAGGCCCTACATGTGTTCATTCTGCGGCCACCGGTAAGCTTTCTTCTACACCGATTGAGGGCACTTAATTAATCTTTGTTAAATTCTTTTTCTAAAACTGCAGCAGCAACTGGAAGTGGGACTTGCGAAAGCATATGAAGAATATGCACGGCAGGGAAGGGAAGGTGATAATCTTGAGTAATGAGGAAGCCCGTCGTACCCTTGCTCAGTACAAGGCAAGCAGACGACAGGGTCAGAGTCGGATGCTCCGTTGGTCGACTACGGATGTGTCGAGTGAGCCCTCAACATCGAGGCAGTGTTGTGCCTCGGAAGCATCAAGAGGCACTACTGTCTCGCCCGTCGGTGACACTCCTGTTCCAGCTAGCGATGGCAGTACGCAACTAAGCGGCAGTAAAGTAAAAGCGATCTCCGCTTTTCGCTGTTGTGTTTGTAAGATGATCTTCCCAATGTGGAAGAATCTTGCCCAACACATTGTGTTCCATCATCCAGGCCTTAGTGTAGCTACGAGTCTTGCTGCCACTGCTATGGGGAATATTGTCACTACCACTGCTACCGCCAGCAGCAGCAGCTCTAGCCCCATAGAGCCTACGCATACAAGGCTTTCTTTGAAGAGGCCCCTTACCCCACCATCTCCTAGCAAATTGTCGTCTGGGGAGGATGAACAATCTGCAACGGTAAGAGAATATTTTAAAAAGGCAATCGAATACTTAAACTGTGATTTTTTAAAGAGAAGGCCAAACCTCCATTTACTTTAAGGTTTGCTAAACACATTCCTAGATTCTCTCCCCTAAAGACGTATCTAGGTGCTAAGGATGGAAGAAGGCTTATCATCCTGGTGCACAATACCATGACATTAATGAAATAGTCGATTGACAGATTATAGATAGATGCCAGATTTGGCGCCGTGAATCACCTAAAAAGTTATTAAAATTACAGCGATATTATCTTTTAGAATGCGGCCTCCCCAAGGCACTTGAATAGCAAGAAGTTAATTTAGGATAAGGGAAAAAAGGGATGATTATTTGGTTTACTAGTTCAGCAGGATCAAGATGAATGGCATTGTTCTTACTATGGTCTTCTTTTACTGCAGGAGATGAAGTTTTGTGAGATACAGCGCTCGCCTTTCGCTGCAAATCCATTAGAGGAACCATTGCCATCACCTTCGATGTCATCAACGCCAACATCACTACCTGAGTCGGAAATGGTGAGGCAGCGTCCCAGACTTCGAGCAAAACGTTCTCTAGTCCATCACGTTGCATCGTCATCCACGCAGACCCAAAGTTCCCCACTACTCAGCACCCTCGACAATCTGCTTTCTGAGAGTGCAACAAATTCGTTCACCGAGGTCTTTCAGTTTGCAGAGATACTTAAACAGGCTGTCGATTTCCTTCAGTCGTTATTGGGTGAGGGAAGTCAGGAGACAATCGAAAATTCCAACATCTATGAGCAGTTGCTGTCTCGCTTGGAGGGAGATGAAAACGAGCCCTCAACGCTAGCGTAAGTGCAGATCCTAAACCAATGTCTACTTATTTCCTTATCAGTAGACGATTACACCAATGTTTCTTTTCTTCCACAGAGATAGATCGCAGCGCTTGGCTTTGCTGCTGGTGGATCCTCAGGTTCAATCCTTGACCGATCAGCTTTTACCGCTTCTCCATAGAGTAAAACAACAGTTTAATATCCCCAGTGGAACTAACGATTTCACCCAATTCCAACAGTGACTGTTCCTACCCTCTGTGCATTGCCGTTTGACTGCGGTTATTTTGGTATGTAACTCAAGTTTGACAAAATTCGGTGGGTATTTTGTGTTTTGGGCTGTTTTACTCGTTTTATAAAGATGTTATAGATAAATATCTTACCTTTGAAGTATACTGGGGGGCTGTGTGATAGCCTATGTATACCGGTTCATCCATCTGCTTAGAAAGCACTTTACAGACTTGTTCACTTGTTTTACTTGCTCACCAAACGAAATATGCATTTAAGCCTGGATGACTCTTTCTAATACAATTCAATTGGCAGTGAAAGAATGTTTGTATGTGGAGGGAAGAAATGCGTACCAGAGCATAAACACTTGCTGTGCCACCCACTGATGGAGAAAAGAAACGGGCCGAAGTTGACATTGGTATATATCTGAGGTTTTTTAGCTCCAGTAACAACATGGAGACTCGTAAATAAGCTGAGCAAATCTGTAACTGCCATGCTAGTTGCCAAACGTAGCATTTATACCTACGTGCTTACTAAATCCCAAGGAAACATTGTTGAATAAGAGGGATGTGGAGTATTCCCTAAACCGATTTTGGCGTAAGAGATGTGATGCTGTAGATTAGGTGCAGGTGAGCTTTTTTCAAGGAAGACGTTAACATAGATTACAGGAAGACAAGAAGCGATGGAACGGACATCCTAGCGGCTAATGTTTTTTTGAGTAGCCGTCAACACGAATGCTTTATCAGCAAATTGAGCAATTTGTTCCGAAGTTGGGAATCAGGTGTAAAGCCGAACTTTCGAGATGGTAGGTAGGCGCCTCAGTGGCCTGAAACCAAACACGAGGGTAAAATAAAGTATTACACAACTTTAGAGAGTGCCAAATACGGTTTTGTACAATGTAGCGCCATCGTATAAGTCTACACACCACTTGGATCACCCCTAAACAAATATTGAAAATATCTGCGTAAAAATAATTGTAATCATACAGAAAGTCCGTTGACGGAAGTGACAGGAGACAGAAGGTTATGATAGGGATGATGACAAATTGGTGTATGGATAAGAAAAGTAGTCCATAGGAGTGTTGTAGGATTTTGCTCGGGCTAATCAAATCTCGAAATAAAGTGTCTTCAATACGATTAAGGCCATTTTAGCGTAAAAGTTAAATGTCAAATGTGGAAAATATTTACCATCCCAAGGGGTCAGGTATATTT